ACAGACAAAAGCCGCCCCTCCCCACCCCACCCAGCAAGCGGACTCCTTCCTGCTGCTCTTGGGGGGGGGGGCAGAGCCCCACGAGGGGGGTTCCAGCTGGTCTCAGGGAGCCAAGGGCTGAGGGTGTCGGAGAGGTGCAGTCAGGGGCAGAGAGAGAGAGAGAGAGAGAGAGAGAGGGAGAGGAAGGAAGAAAGACTCTCTCTGTAGCATCTTTCTTTCCCCTGGGAAGGGGTTGCCCTTACAGCTGTGATTCCCAGAGGGGGGCCTGGCCTCTGGGGGGAGGGGCGGGGAGTTCCTGTGAAGGATCTAAACCGTTAGCGAAGCGGCTCCTCGCCATTAAGTGCCGCTCACGTGTGCTTTCGACCTGCTGGCCGACTCGGACATGTCACAGGTATCATTCAAACAGGCCCAGAAGCAAGCGCTGCCCCCATGACCCCACCCGTGCTGTGGGGATGGGGGTGGGGGAGGGCGCCCCTCAGGCTGCAGCTCGCAGGGGCCCTGCTGGGTCAGGACACCACGGGCCCCACCGTTTCTGCTGTGCCTCCCGGCAACACACGCAGGCGCGGGCCGGCCCGCTCTCCTCGGGAAGGAGCCCCAGGCAGGGACCGCGGGTGCACGAAGGTAAACCAACCCCGCCCAGCGGTCAGCACCCATGGAAGCCACCCCTCCCCCCAGGAAAGGCAGCTCTGTCCTCAGGACTCAGGGACCCTCCCCGACGGGAGGGCGGGGCTCACCGGTGGTGGCAGTGGGCCGCGGTCAGCACCCACTGCGGGCGGATCAGGACCCCCCCGCACACGTGCTCCCCGTGGTACTGCAGCGAGGCCATGAACGGCCTGGAGTGAGGGGCCACCTCTCTCCCCCCGATGACCTCCTCGCTGGAGCCTGCAAGAGAAAACGCACCGTCGGCCCCCAAGGACCTGAGCAGCGGACTCCCGTTTCTTCTCTCCCGGGGAACGCAGCGTCTGCAGAGACGGAGCAACCCCGGCCGCCTCGAAGCTGTAACCGCACGCATGAACCGTTGCTTGTGATTGTGTGAGAGTGGTGGTATAACACATGCAAGCCCAGAGGCCCAGACGTGTGAGGAGTCGTGGTCATTTACGATGTAGCCACACAGTCGCTGGTGTGGCTACATCAATTCAGGTCCTGCGCCCGTGGGCGGGCAGGGGAGACACTTACATGCAGGCGTCAGACAAGCCGCGGCGACGAGGAAGAGCAGGGAGGACGCCGTCATTTTCACCGCGAAGAAGCCCGGTGAGCTCTCGGCCCGTCGGTGGAGGAAGCCGGTCTGAAGACGAGTTTGGGTCTTGCGAGTGTTAAGCTGCTCCCCACAGCGTCTGGGGGCAGGGCTTTCACACCTACGTGGGGAGCCCGTTTCAGCCTGGGCGGTTCCCAGCTCTGCCTGTCGCACTTGCTACGTGTGCGGCAGAGAACTCGCACCTGGAGGAGCCACCTTCGCCGCGGGTGCGGGTGCGAGCTCTCGGGTTTACAGGGTGAGAGAATCGGAGGCATCCACGCCCGGGAACTTAACGAAGAGAGAGTTCAGAGACGGGCCCCTGCTCTACGGCGCTGCTTGCTGTCCTTCCCGCAGAGAAGGGCCCAGGCACGGCTGCACCTCCCTGGCTCGCACTGGGACGTGGGCCAGGTACGGAGCGAGACGGGGACCCTTGGCCCACCGCGGGTGCTCAGCCAGGCCTCGCTCAGGCCGGCGTCGTCCGGAGAAGCCCACACGCCTGTAGCACGCTCCCTCCGAGTCCTGCCGCCCCCTCTGAATTCGCCCGAATGCGGTGAAATTTTAGCTGCATTTTTGGAAGATTTCATAATGTGACCTGAGGGGAACATGGGCAGCGTGTTCTGAAATTCCGAGTCCCTTTTCCTCACTTTTAATAGGAAATGACCATGTGTTTACCCAGGGCCTTTGTCATCGTGCCTGTCAGAGACCGAGGACTGTGCTTAATGGGCACACTCGCCCGGCTTCCTCTCGCCCTCACTGTGGAGGCGGCGGCCTCAGAGGCTGGGAACCCGCTTTTCCTGGGCGCCGGGCGAGCCTGCAAATGCTGCTGGGGTTCCAGCAGTCCAGCCGGCACCCGGCCCCATCACCTCAGAAACGCTGACCAATTACCTTGAAGGAGCAGAGTCTGCTTTCTTTTCTCTGACGCAGAAGCATCCTGCCCGCCAGCGTAACCCGGTGGACCAAGAGGTCAGGGTTCAAGTCCCAGTCAAGGCACAGGCCGGGGGTGCAGGCTCGATCCCCAGTGTGGGGCGTGCAGGAGGCAGCCATCAGTGATCACCAATGCTTCTCTCTCTCTATCTCTCTCTCTTTCCTTTCCTCTCTGAAATCAATAAAAATATATATTTTTAAAAAGCTATACGCATCCTATTTTCTTCTTCCTCTTTTTGTGTGTGTGAGATGGAGAATTGAAATCCAGGAGAATTGAAATGTTATACTTGCCAGATTGCAACAGACTCCTACCCGATCATTGTTTTCTAGCACAAGACAGTGGGGATCATCAATATGATAGTTACACATCGTACGTTAACATTTAATAATACAAGCGCCTGACATTGTTTCCAAAATTCTTCTCACGTGATCATTTATAAACCGTCACGTCTGACGTCTGTGAGGCAGGAGGGACACGCTTGTGCTTGTGCTACAGAAGGGAGAAGCGGGCCCAGGGAGGCCCAGCGACCTGCACGCGCGGCCCGCACCGAGCCCTCTGCCCGACCGGAGTAACTTCTACGCTAGTAAATACAGACATGGCCGAGCACAGCGTTTGCAAAAATACCGTTTTCACGTTACGGGGCCGAGGCCACAGCAGAGCGTTCCTGCATATTAATTAAATAGCAGACTCAGCGAGACTTCCTGTCGCCGCGCCTGTGGGCGAGGCGCGGAGGGACCCGAGTGAGAAAAGCCACAGACTCACCGAGCCAAACCTGTCAGCTGCAGCCAGATGTCCCGCGAGGGTTCCAGCACCTGTCAGGGCCGGGCGCCGCTCCCCG